TGGAAAGATTACAGAGGAACCTGAGCCCCAGAGAATTATATCCCTGCTGTGGCTGTCAAAAAGGTGCCAGCTCCTAAGTTCTTGCTATTCCCAGCACAGGGTTAGGGGAAAGACACTGAGGCCAAGTTAGCCAGCTAAAAGCTACAATCTAGGCTGTGGGGGGAAAATATTACACGCCAGTGAGGATACAAATCAGCTTTGGAATTAGTTACAGAGGAACCTGAGCCCCAGAGAATTATATCCCTGCTGTGGCTGTCAAAAAGGTGCCAGCTCCTAAGTTCTTGCTATTCCCAGCACAGGGTTAGGGGAAAGACACTGAGGCCAAGTTAGCCAGCTAAAAGCTACAATCTAGGCTGTGGGGGGAAAATATTACACGCCAGTGAGGATACAAATCAGCTTTGGAATTAGTTACCAGGGGCAATTGCATATTCCACAGTCTGGTGGGCAAAGGTGGTTACACTCTGACTCCTAAAAACAAGAAAGAGAAAAGAAAGTGGAGGGAGATGAGACCCCCTCCAGCTGTGAGCACTGGTGCAGAACTACCGGGCTACAAATGCAGCCACCTCCAATTCCGTGTCCCCCCTCTTCCCACACCTCCATGGCTCTGTGCAAGGGACATCCTGGAGCCATGCACCTTTCCCCCCCTGTGGCACCTGTGTTACTCTCCTGCCCCTCCATTCCACATTGTTCTACATCTCCGCCTGACCCAGCAGGGCCCCCTTTGTTCCCTATTACTCCCTTGGCTCAGACCATGCACCCTTCTCTGTACCCCTTCAGGGCTGAATCCCCCTGCTTCTTAGCTCTCTGCCTCCTTCTTGCATTCTCCCCTCCCCTGGGACCTCCAGGCCTCCTTTTAGTCTCCCTCCCTTTGTGTCCCCACACCAGAACTGTACCTCCCCGTCCTCTGCACCCCCACCCAAATACCACAACGCCTCTGTTTTCTTGTCACATCCCTGCTTTCCCACACATGAACTCCAGGCTGTGTGCACTCTCCCCCCAAGCTTCTGAATCCAGATCATGATCCTGTGCCTTCCTCCATCAATCCCCCACAGACCCTCTGCTTGCTCCCTGCCAGGCCCCACTTGGGACCCAGGTCGCCTGCTTGGTACTCCCTTGAAAAAAAAAACCCTTAGCGGATTCCCACATGACAGGTTCCCCCCTGGATACTATGGCTCTCGCCAGGGTCCCCCACTCCACACTCCTAAGAACCACTTGCCCTCCCCTGTCATGGTTCCTCTGAACCCACCTCCCAGGGCTTCTCTGCTCCCACACCACAGTCCCCTCACCTCCCCCAAACCCTCTCCCTCTACCCCCCATCCCCACCTACCCCAGCCCCTCTTCCCACCTTAGCTCCCCATGACAGCCTCCCCCAGAGCATCCCTGCAGCCTCCTCTCCCCGCGAGGCGCAACTCCACACCCGGCTCTCAGCCGCACAGGCACGGGGCCCAGGGAGCGAGGCGCAACTCCACACCCGGCTCTCAGCCGCACAGGCACGGGGCCCAGGGAGCGAGGCGCAACTCCACACCCGGCTCTCAGCCGCACAGGCACGGGGCCCAGGGAGCGAGGCGCAACTCCACACCCGGCTCTCAGCCGCACAGGCACGGGGCCCAGGGAGCGAGGCGCAACTCCACACCCGGCTCTCAGCCGCACAGGCACGGGGCCCAGGGAGCGAGGCGCAACTCCACACCCGGCTCTCAGCCGCACAGGCACGGGGCCCAGGGAGCGAGGCGCAACTCCACACCCGGCTCTCAGCCGCACAGGCACGGGGCCCAGGGAGCGAGGCGCAACTCCACACCCGGCTCTCAGCCGCACAGGCACGGGGCCCAGGGAGCGAGGCGCAACTCCACACCCGGCTCTCAGCCGCACAGGCACGGGGCCCAGGGAGCGAGGCGCAACTCCACACCCGGCTCTCAGCCGCACAGGCACGGGGCCCAGGGAGCGAGGCGCAACTCCACACCCGGCTCTCAGCCGCACAGGCACGGGGCCCAGGGAGCGAGGCGCAACTCCACACCCGGCTCTCAGCCGCACAGGCACGGGGCCCAGGGAGCGAGGCGCAACTCCACACCCGGCTCTCAGCCGCACAGGCACGGGGCCCAGGGAGCGAGGCGCAACTCCACACCCGGCTCTCAGCCGCACAGGCACGGGGCCCAGGGAGCGAGGCGCAACTCCACACCCGGCTCTCAGCCGCACAGGCACGGGGCCCAGGGAGCGAGGCGCAACTCCACACCCGGCTCTCAGCCGCACAGGCACGGGGCCCAGGGAGCGAGGCGCAACTCCACACCCGGCTCTCAGCCGCACAGGCACGGGGCCCAGGGAGCGAGGCGCAACTCCACACCCGGCTCTCAGCCGCACAGGCACGGGGCCCAGGGAGCGAGGCGCAACTCCACACCCGGCTCTCAGCCGCACAGGCACGGGGCCCAGGGAGCGAGGCGCAACTCCACACCCGGCTCTCAGCCGCACAGGCACGGGGCCCAGGGAGCGAGGCGCAACTCCACACCCGGCTCTCAGCCGCACAGGCACGGGGCCCAGGGAGCGAGGCGCAACTCCACACCCGGCTCTCAGCCGCACAGGCACGGGGCCCAGGGAGCGAGGCGCAACTCCACACCCGGCTCTCAGCCGCACAGGCACGGGGCCCAGGGAGCGAGGCGCAACTCCACACCCGGCTCTCAGCCGCACAGGCACGGGGCCCAGGGAGCGAGGCGCAACTCCACACCCGGCTCTCAGCCGCACAGGCACGGGGCCCAGGGAGCGAGGCGCAACTCCACACCCGGCTCTCAGCCGCACAGGCACGGGGCCCAGGGAGCGAGGCGCAACTCCACACCCGGCTCTCAGCCGCACAGGCACGGGGCCCAGGGAGCGAGGCGCAACTCCACACCCGGCTCTCAGCCGCACAGGCACGGGGCCCAGGGAGCGAGGCGCAACTCCACACCCGGCTCTCAGCCGCACAGGCACGGGGCCCAGGGAGCGAGGCGCAACTCCACACCCGGCTCTCAGCCGCACAGGCACGGGGCCCAGGGAGCGAGGCGCAACTCCACACCCGGCTCTCAGCCGCACACCGCCGGGCACGGCAGCGGCGACAACTCCGCCCCCGCCCCGGAGACGCACAGACACCCAGCGGCGGCCCAGGGAGCGAGGCGCAACTCCACACCCGGCTCTCAGCCGCACACCGCCGGGCACGGCAGCGGCGACAACTCCGCCCCCGCCCCGGAGACGCACAGACACCCAGCGGCGGCCCAGGGAGCGAGGCGCAACTCCACACCCACATCACAGCCGCAAACAGCTGGTTGCGAGCCCTACTAGTGTGGCAGAGTCCAGCGGCCCGTTGTGCTGCGGATACACCCTTTTGTATCGGCATCCACACTAGGGATGGTACATCTTCGTTAATTGGCTACTCGAATAGTCGATGCAATTCAAATAGTTGATAAGGGCACCTCTGCCTTTGCAACGTAGCAACAGCTTCAGGGCTGTTGCTACACTTCGGAGGTGAAAGCACTGCAGAATGCGGCCCTGTGCTCCCCATGGCATTTCAAAGTGGCAGCGTCGCATGGAGCCTCAGGTCAGCTGGGGACTCTGAATCCCCAGCTGACCCCGGGCTCCACCTGGCGCTGCCGCTTTGAAACTCCCCAGTTGGCCCCAGGCTCCACCCAGCACTGCCCCTTTGAAGCACCCCCTCTTCTCCTCTCTCCCTCTTTCTAATAGAGGCAGCAAGCAGGAGGAAGCAACTAGCTGACTAACATTCACATCCCTAATCCGCATCTATAGATGCAAAACTGAGCCCTGTATAGCTGCATTTCCATCTGTAGACAGAGATATAAAGTGGATATCTGCGGATTTGCAGGGCTCTAAGAATTAGTTGCTACACTGCTCTACAGCCAAAATGCTTCTGAAATAAATGTAGTCAAACTTTACTAATTCTGGGTCACTGATAACGAAAGTGATGCTTAAAATTGTTGATTGGCTCTAGTTTTCAAAATATGCTATTGAGTCAGTATATACGATCCTTGACTTGCGAATGGCAGAAGATAAGTCTACACTCCAGGCCGTCACACCTATTACTTTTCAAGAAAAACGGCATTGTGCAAGAAGGTTTTTCTTGCACAAGAGGGGGCAGTGTAGATGCTCCTTCTTAGGCAAGAGCCTCTTCTGAAAAAAATGGTGGCTCATTAGGTATGAAAATGAGGCTCGGCGATATTCCACGCTTAGCCTAATTTGCATATTACTCGCGCAAGAAGCTGCGAGTGTAGACATAGTCCAGGGGTCTCCAACCTTTTTAACCACAAAATCACTTTTTTAATTTAAGTACAATGTCAGAGCTACCTCAAACCCAGATACTCTTGCCCTGCTTCCTACCTGCCCCTGCTCCGCACCTTCTCTGAGGCCTCACCCTGCTCACGCCATCCCCTTTCCTCCCCAAACCTCATTCACTTTCACCAGGCTGGGGTAGAGGGTTGGGGTGCAGGCTCTGGTCTTAGGCTAAGGGGTTTGGAAGGGGCTCTGGGCTTCACCCAAGACAGGGGATTGGGGTCCAGGAGGGGCTTCAGGGTGCAAGCTCTGGGAAGGAGTTTGGGTACAGGGGGACTCATGTCTGGGGCAGGAGGCTGGGTGCCGGAGGAGGCTCAGGGATGGAACAGGGGTTCAGGAAGCAGGCTCTGTCTGGGCACTGTTTAACTGAGATGGCTTCCAGTTGGTGGAGCAGTGGGGTTAAGGCGGCTTACTCCTGCCCTGGCCCTACACCACTCCTGAAAGCAGCTGGTGTGTACAACAATGGCTCCATGGCACCATGTGCTGCCCCATATCTACAGGCACTGAGCCCACAGCTTTTACTGGTCACGGTTCCCCATTATTGACCAATGGGAGCTGCAGGAGTGGTGTCTGCAGGCAAGGATAGCCTGTGGAGACCCCCTGCTCTGCCTCTCTCAGAGGCTTCAGGGACATGCCAGCCACTTCCAGGAGCAGCAATTACAATAGGGATAATGACACCAGGCACAACAGGTTGGGCATTTTAGAACTTACGACTCACAGAATGACATTTAAGCCTAAGAGAGAAATGAAAATAATGAAACGCACAGACCAGTCAAAAACCCAAAATAATAGGGATAATGACACCAGGCACAACAGGTTGGGCATTTTAGAACTTACGACTCACAGAATGACATTTAAGCCTAAGAGAGAAATGAAAATAATGAAACGCACAGACCAGTCAAAAACCCAAAATAACTCACTTTGCAAGCAGTAAAAGAAGTAATCACAACCCTCCCCCCTGTATGTGTTGGGTCAGGAGACGAGAGGGAAGGACAGGGTGTGTTTGCGAGAATGACAGAGACACACACACACTGTGTGAGAGTGACAGAAATTAGCATCGCCAAGCTCCCTCCATCCCCTTCTTTCTGTGTGGAGACAGGGTACAGGAGAGGAGGGGGAAGAGGGACACCCTGACATCAGCACTCTGCCTCTTCTCTCTCCCACACCTTGCACAGCAAGCAGGAGGCTCCCGGCCGGGCAGCGCCAAAACAGAGGGCAGGAGCAGCATGACAGTGGGTAGAGGAGCAACTGAAGTGCCAGTGCTTGATAGCTTCCTGGCCAAACCAATTAGGATCCCCGGTCAGCAGCTCCAAGGTCTACTGGTAGATCCCGATCTATTGGCTGGTGACCACTGGTCTACACAGTCCAAGAAAGCCATTATAGCCCGTTCTATCTACAGTGATAGAACAGGCTCTCTAAGGCTGTGTCCAGACTCAGGGGTTTTTTGGAAAAAAGTAGCCTTTTTTCGAAAAAACTTCACCTGCGTCTAGACTGCAGCCGCGTTCTTTCGAAATTAAATCGAAAAAACGCGGCTTTTCTTTCGACGGCGGTAAACCTCATTTCACGAGGAAGAACGCCTTCTTTCGAAAGTGCTTCTTTCGAAGGAAGGCGTTCTTGAATGTAAATAGGGCTTCTTCGAAAGAGAGCATCCAGACTCACTGGGTGCTTTCTTTCAAAAAGCGGCTTGCTCTTTCGAAAGTTCCGCGTGCAGTCTAGACGCTCTCTTTCGAAAGAGGCTTGCAGTCTAGACATAGCCTTAGTGCGGCAGTTAATCCACCCACGAGGTAGTCGCTAGGTCGATGGAAGAATTCTTCCATTGATGCTGTCTACATAGGAGCGTAATTTGGCTTATCTATGACGTTCACGGGTGTGGATTTTTCACATCCCTGAACCATGTACCTGGTTTGATCTAGAACAGGGGTGGTCAATCATTTTC